CCAGTGCGGGGACCTGCGCGAATGATATAGGGGTAGCGACCAGGACCCCCAGACGCCCCACACGCGGCATACCAGTCATAAAGCTACTGGGAAGTGGGAGTCTGGCGCTGACGCTGCTGCTGCTGCTGCTGCTACTGCCCCTGGCCACCACTGGTCTCACCCAAGCCCCCACCACTGCCGCCACCACCACTCCCCCCTCCGCCACCACCGCCGCCGCCACCACCACTGCTCCCGGCACCACCACCGCCCCCACCACCACCTCCACTCCCACGACCACCCCCACCACCTCCACCTCCCCCGCCGCCTCCACCACCGCCCCCTCCACCGCCACGTCCGCCACCCCTGCCACCCCTGCCTCCCCTGGAGCCGTTGCGCTCCCCACTAGGAGCGGAAGAAGTTGCGACCTTCTCAGCACCAAGGAGGACGACAGCAGCAGCTGCGAAGGCGTAGGAGGGGGTAAGAGGGGAGGGGGAGCCCCCCTCAAAGAGGGGAGTGCGAGGAGTACCACGAGCAGCACCTATAGCGAGGATGTTCTACTCTGCTGCTAGGAGGTGCTTCTCGAGGTCGGCGACAGTGAGAGTGGTAGGCACTAGGGCTAGGAAGTGGTCCCTGACGGAGCTAAGAGTGTCAAGAAGGCGGGTGATGAGGAGAAAGAGAGTGAAGTACATCGGGGGAGGGGGGGGGGGGTTCTCGGCACAGAACTTGGCTGGAAGGGCGCCACGAAAGCGAGGGTCACTAGTGCGAAGGTGAGAAATGAGGTCCTCAGCAGTGATAAACGAGGACAGGTCTGGGAACAGGTAGGGTAGCATGAGCCGACCTAGGGCTGTAGTGGCTGGGAGGAGTAGCGTGCAACTACAACGTCATACAGTGCCTTAGCAGTTTTGTGCTGGCTGAAATGCGCGTGCTCGGTGATCGGCAGATGATTTCGAATAGGTAGGCGTGCAGCAGCATCGCGAGTCTGCCACTATGAGCGTTCGAGAGCGGTAGCATCGTCAACAGAGCAACAGCAGTGCCAGACACGTAATCAAACAGTGAAACGCCGTCTTTGGCATCAGTCAGAAGAAACAGTTGGAGATCGTCGAGCCACGTGGTGAACTCTATCGGGCGACCGTCAGGCTCAAACGCGAGAACATTAAGTGTCGCCATAATCGCAGTGCAGGCAAAGGTAGTAGGCAAAGGCAGTAGGCAGCAGGCAGCAAGCAAAGGGCACGAGCAGCAAGGGCGGCGCTCAAAGCAGGCGCAGGCAGCTCAGGCAACGCACGGGGCAGCAGCAGGCCGCGCGCAGGCTGCTGAGGCGCGGCTCGAGCAGGTAGGGCGGCGTGGGGGGCTGCGGAGGGCCGCGCGCGGGCTGTCAGAGCGCGGCGCGGGCTGCGCGGACGGTGCGCGAGGCAGCTGCGGGCCGCGTGCGCGCTGCGCAGGCTCGGCGCGGGCTGCGCGAGCGGTGCGCGGGGCAGCTGCGGGCCGCGCGCGCGCTGCGCGGGCTCGACGCGGGCTGCGCGGGCGGTGCGCGGGGCGCGACGCGAGCAGGGAGGGCGACGTGCGGGGCTAAAGGGGGGAGCGCACGAGAATTAGGTATGCGCGCGCGAAGCAGCAGCAGACAGCTCAGACAGCAGACAGAAGGCAGACAGTGCGCGCAGCGCAGCACGTCCTAGGCACAGTCACAGTCACAGTCGTGGGGTAGCGGTAGGTGGGCCCGAAAAAAAAAAAAAAAAAAAAAAAAAACTGCTCTGAATACCATATCAGAAGTCTAGGAAGGAAAGAAATGAACTAGGAAAGAGTTGTGTACAAGTATGAAACCCTAAAGGGGTTGTACCCCATATTGGCTACCCGACTACAGCCTAAACATACCGTAAGCCCCCGGATAGAAGCGCAGGCCTCGGATAAGCGCCGGCGCTTATAAAAAGATGACGGCACTTATATCCGGTCATCGATTATAAGCCCACCCCCTGGAAAAATATGATTTATTATAAGCGCATATTGGTTTTTCATTTGAAAACCTGTCGAAATACAGAAACGAATTTCACATTATCAGGGAAACGACCTACATTTTTTTTATTTCCCACACTATGTGACAAAATTAGAAGAAAGAAAGAGGGCTTGACTAGCAAGAATGGGGATACAAATAGCAAACCCTAACAGGGTTGTACTCGCTATAGAGCACCCCACTACAGGCTAGATAAGAACATTCTGACACACCCCCATAGCCAAAGTGGGGTGTAATCAGCAGAGCAAGCAAAGCTGTACAAGCTCAGGGTGGATCACAATGTCACCACACATTCTGAGCACAAGTTCAAGAAGCAATAGTTTAAAGTTAAGAATTATGAGCAAAGCTAGAGGCTATCGCAGAGGGCAAGTGAGGAGGAGGAGGCGAGAGTGAGAGGAAAGGAGATAGGAGGCGACGGATGAAGCTGCAGACACACGGGCAACAGGAGGCAGACTGGCACAGCGGCTACCGGACGAAGCCCCCGGACTACAGGGGTAACTGGCCCCGCGGCTAAAGTAGCGGCAGACGAGCAACGGACCCACGGGCGGCTGGCACAGCTGGCTACGACTGAGCTACCGGACGAAGCCCCCGGACTACAGGTGCTGCTAGCGACACAGCAGCATCCTTCATTCAGCTCCCCAAACAGTCTCACCCCCCCTTGCACACACCCCCTACTGCACCCCTAGGGTCACTCACACCCCACCCCCTAGCACGACTCCAGCGACTCCCACACACCCACCCCCCTCAGCGGCAGCTGCTGCAGTGGGAGACAGAGGAGGAGGAGGAGCAGGGGAGACCACACACCCGCCACCCCCATACTCGCCACACCCCAAACCCTAACTCAGGCAGGGCGGGATGGCGGGTAGGGAGGTTACGGGGGAGGGGGAGGGGGGGGGGGGGGGGGGGGGGGGGGAACCGACGCGCGGCCGCCCAGGGCGGCAAGACAGGCAGCAGAAGGGGGGGCGGCGCTCGCCCCCCTCCCCCAGGTAAGTCCTCCCGTCGCCTGTCGAGGCGACCCTCGGGGGCCGCTTGCGGGGCCCGAGGGAGCCGCGACGGGCGACGGGAAAAGGGGGGGGGCCGCAGGCGGGGCCGGGGCCGGGACGGGCGGCGCACGGGCGGTGTGGGGCCGGGACAGCGGCGCACGGGTGGCGACGGGCCGGGGCTGGCGGCGCACGGGCTGCGACGGGCCGGGGCAGCTGCGTGGGGCCGGGGCAGCGGCGCACGGGCGGCGACGGGCCGGGGCAGCGGCGCACGGGCGTCGACGAGCCGGGGCAGCGGCGCACGGGCGTCGACGGGCCGGCGCGCCGGTCCCCGTCGCCCGTCGCAGCGCCTCCCGAGGGCGACGCGCCGAGCGACGAGGCAGAAGCCCGCCGCGCGCCTCGGGGCGCACAGCGGGCAGAGAACCGCCGCGCGCCTCGGGGCGCACGGCGGGCAGAAAACCGCCGCGCGCCTCGGGGCGCACGGCGGGAAGAAAAACTGCCGCACGCCACGGGGCGTGCGGCACAGAGAGTAGCAGTAGAAGTTGCAGCGGAAGCAACGAGGTGGTGTTAACCCACCCACAGGATCGATCCAAGGGGATCGACCTGCTCTGATACCATGACAAAATTAGAAGAAAGAAAGAGGGCTTGCCTAGCAAGAATGGGGATACAAATAGCAAACCCTAACAGGGTTGTACTCGCTATAGAGCACCCTACTACAGGCTAGATAAGAACATTCTGACACTATGATCTAACTTTTTGCGCGTCTAGTCAGCATGTGCCGTCATTCTGTCAGTATGAGTTGAGAAAACTGAAACGAGAGAATGGATGAACTATGAAACAAGTGGGTACAAGTACTAACCCTAATTGGGTTGTACCCCCTATGGGATACCCCACTACAGTCTACACAAATGTATAAGCTATACAATGTTCCGACATGAGTTGGCAGGGAAACACTCACTGCCAAGCTGCGCGAGAATCAAATTCACGACCCTATATGTTTTCGACTCGATTACAATCAGCAGAACGGGATCTACCGGTACAATTTGGTGTAAAACAAATAGAAATTCATATTTGCCATTTTATCAACGCCCGCGCTTATAAATTTCCTCAATTGTAAGCGCACCCCCTAAAAAACACTGTTTTTTTATACCCCCAGGGGCGCTTTTATCAGGGGGCTGACGGTATATAGCAGATATAATTTGACAGATTTGAGACACGGTTGTGGGTGTGTAAAAATCTCTCGCGTACACTCAAAATCTCTAACAGCACATGCTGACTGGACGCGCAGCATGCAGAGTTTGAATGTGAAGGAAATTTGACTTTCAAGTCATCAGCTTGCTAAAGCAAGCTTCGTTACAGAAAGATGATAGTTTTTCAAATTTAAAACTAACATGTTCTTATAGTAGATCACTTAAAGCCAGTGGTCCAAATTGTTCATGCTTTTAAAAGTTGACCAGAGGGAGTTTTTCTGGTGCGGGCTTTGGCGAGAGTTTCCGATTTCGTCTAGGTTCGTTTTTTCGCGAGACCCAGCCAACCCTCGGTTTTCCCCCTGGTGAGTGAATCTGTCTTCGAAAGTCCCAAATTGCAAGTGCGTGACTTTTAAAAGCTTGGACACTCAACTTCGTCAAGTTTTAAAAACTTGACCCTCGCGGCCCGCAATTTGGGACGCGGGCTTTAAATTTAAGGGGGTGCGCTTATAAGTGAGGATCGGCCATAAGCGCATTGCTACAGATAGAAGCGCATACCCTTTTAATAGGCCTGCGCTTATATTCGGGGTGATACGAAGTATTGTCTAGGTACAATGATTTGCCGTGTTTCAGTTCAGCACAACAGCAGCAAACGATTTGCTTCATAAAATCTGTCAAGTTTTTAGGAAAAAAGGAGCACTTGAACACGATTTCCTACATACATTACAGATAATCCCTAACACTGTAAGAATCGGCATCTCACACATGTTTTTTCAAGTTGGACGAAGAATCAGAGGAATAAACAACATATTGAGCACCAAATAAATAAGGGCAATAGATTCACTTAACCTAGTCACAACGAGCCTCAGGAAGATCAGACACCACGTCATCCGTGAGCGGGGCTTGCTCCTCTTGGTGGTGCAGTGCGGGACTGGACTGGCCCAGTTGCTGCTCGAGCTGGTCCAGGGCGTCTGAGAACTTGAGGTGCGAGTGAGCGGCCGATGCGCGTGGAGTGCCGTGCTGTGCCCCCAGTAAGGCCACTCGCCGCATCTCCCACGAGCAGTCACTAGTGGCTCGCGCCAACGGGGGAGGTCGCCCAAGCAGCCCTCCACCAGCCAGCCCACCAGCACTGCTGCTGCCGCCATCACTTGCCCTGCCACCCGCCCACCCCACGCCTGCCTCTGCCCCTACCCCCTTGCTGCCCCCCACCGACCCGTCCTCTGCTGCCGCGTGTGTGCGGGGGGGCACGTGCTGCCGCAGCCTCAGCGCTGCCAGCCCATGCAGGCCCTTCTCCCCCTCCTCAAACCGCACACGCCGCCTTGCCTTGCCCGCTGCCAACCCTGCTGCTGCCACCTCCCCCCTCAACTCCGCCCCACTTCTCTCCGCACCACCCCCACGTGCACCCTCTGCTTCCCCCCCAATCACCGGCATCGGTGCCACCACATCCCGCAACTCGCTCTCCTCCACCCCTTCCTCCTCCTCCTCCCCCGCTGCAACCACCCATTCCTTCTCCTCCTCCTCCCTTCTCCCCATCGTCTCCTCTGTGTCCCCACCCTTGCCTCCCTCTGCCCCCATTGCCGCCTTTCCCTCTGCTGGCGGCCCTTGGGAGCTCCATACCTGCTGAGGGGAGGGGAAGAGAGGCAAAGTTTTAAAAGCTGACAGTTTTTGACCTATTCTCACTCTTCATAAACATGGAGTAGGCCTGATCTACATTGGCAGATACGCCCTGGGCAGGGTTGTGTACCACGTGTATACGCTTGCGTATATACGTGGTACGCTAATACGCTCGTATTTCTTGGAAATACGCCCGGGCAGCCCGCCGGAAAAGAAAATTCTAAATTGAAAAAATTCGCGAAGGTTTTGTGACTTCGCGATTTGTTACCGCGCAGTCGCATATCGCCCAACCCACTTCTGAAATTCAAATTTCGAGCTCCAAACCTCCCACCACCCCAACCACACACCACCCCACCAAACCTCTCATCTCCAACCATCCCTCTCAAATGTTGTTCACCAACTCGTCTGCTCATATACTGAATGACGAGTTCCTTTCTGTCATTCAGTTTCCGTAGTTGTTTTCATTCCCGTAGCTCTCTTCTCCCGTTTTTCCTCATGGCGTCTAACTCCACCCCTCCTACTGCGACGAGCAATGTTGCCTCTGTTCACGCGTCGAATAGCGAAATCAATACGGAGCCTGTTGAGGCTGGCCTTTCGAACCCCATTTTGAAACATTTCCTTATTCCGTACCATACCAAAGGCACTCCCAAGATGTGTAAGTTTTGTGATTTCACGTTTGAGGGTGGAACCACTCGCTGCGCGGTTCACCTGGCGAAATGGAAAGGGCAGGGTGGAGGCGCTGTCCGGCTTTGCAAGAAGGTGTCCCCGGCAGTCAGTGAAGAAGTGCGCGGCATGTACAAGGAGAAGGCGGAAAAGCTGGGCGTCAAACGAGGGGCGGCTGCTGCAGCAGTTGACTCCGCGCTGGGCGCGGTCACTGGTTCTTCAGACAAGAAGGGGAAGATTACGTCCTCCTTCGGCGATGAGGCAGCGTGCGCCAAGGAGGACGCGGATAACGCCCTCTGCCTTTTGATCGCGGTGTTGAGACTTCCCGAGCGCATCGCGGACGATCCGGTGTTTCGCTACGTGGTCCAGTGCATTGCGCGCGCTGAACTGGGGTACGTCCCCCCCAATAGGCGCTTCATTGGAGGGGCGGGCTTGAAGAAGGTGCGGCAGAAACTGGAGGAGGCGCTCGCCCCCGTAGCCGCGAGCTGGAAGCGTGACGGGGTCACTGTGTCGTCGGACATGATGACTGACCGTTGTGGCCGCCCGCAGGCCAACGTGCTCCTTGTCAACGACTCCGGCGCAGTTTTCGAGCAGGCAGTCGACTGCCACATGGAGTCGAAGACCGGGGGTTACATCGCAAGCCTTCTCCGCCCCGTGATTGATAAGGTGGGGCCGGAGAATGTGGTGGCGATCTGCACCGATGGAGGCAGCAACTATGCCTCGGCAGCCAGGAAGATTGCGAGCACATGGCCACACATTGAGCATGTGCCATGTGCCACGCATGTCCTCGGCCTTATGATGGAAGACGTGGGCAAGATGGGATGGGCGAAGGGGCTTGTGGAGAAGGGGGGGATGATGATTAACTTTGTGCGCAACCACCACTTCACATGTGCATACATGAAGAAGGGTGGGGGGAAACAGGTGCTCAAGCCCGCGGGGACCAGATTCGGGACGCAGTACATAGCTTTGGCCCGGCTATGGGAGGTGAGGGGTGGGCTGGCGAAGATGGTTCTCAGCGACGAGTGGAATGAGTGGGCAGTGGGGGACAAGGACAGGAAGATTGCTGCCGAGAAGTTCAGGGCTGCCGAGAAGTTCAGGGCTGCCGTGATGGATGAGGAGTGGTGGGGGCTGGCGGGGTTTTTTACCTCTCTCATGGCGGTGCCGTTCAAGGCCATGCGGGCCACGGACTCCTCGGCGAAGGGGATGATGGGGAAGATGTATGATATCATGCTTCAGCTTACCGAA